CGGTAGATCATTATTGGGTGTTGCAGATAGTAGTGGTAAATTAAAAGAAGGTCAAGTTTATTTGCGTATTAGTATACCTGTAAATCTTAGTAAAGGTTTTGATGCTGAGGTACAACCAACCAATTTTAAAACTATCACTGGAAAGATTGGTATTGTAAAATGTCCTTGTTTGCATATTGGTGATTTTAGAGTATTAGAGGCTGTTGATGTACCTGAACTATCTTATCTCTATGATGTAATTGTATTTCCATCCAGTGGTAAAGGATTACCACATTTTCAAGAATGTTCTGGTTCTGATTTGGATGGTGATATTTATTCTGTGTGGTGGGAACCAAAATTAATACCAGATCAAAATAGAGATCCATTATTTTTAGGCTCAAGTGTTAAAAAGACACAAGAAATTACAGTGGATAGCATTTCTGAACATGTTTTACAATCATTAATATCTAATGATTTGGGTAGTATTGCTAATTTACATTTAGCCTATGCTGATTATTTGGGTGCAGAATCAGAAGAGGCAATTCATTTGGCTAAATTGCATGCCTATCAAGTGGATTTTGAAAAGACTGGTTATAAACCACATTTGGATATACAATTGAAAAGACAGATTCTCTATCCAGATTTTATGGAAAAACAAGATAAATCCAATAGAAATTCGACATCGGCAATTGGTAAAATGTACAAGATGTGTAAGGAATTGAATTTCTTACAAGTTGGTCAATTTAAAAATCAATTAAATCAGTTTTTTATCAATTTGGATAGTGCTAGTATTCAATTTCTAGAGAGTAGAGAAATTTTAGAAAATGAAATTAATATATTATACCAACAGTATCACAAGAAAATTGAAATACTTTTAAATAAGTATTCAATTGACAAAGAGGAAAAGATTATAATTGGTTGTGCTAGATTAGTTGGTGAATATAAAGGAGAGAATATAACTACAGTTCAAAAAGAATTGAAAATGATTATGGATTTTTATAAACATAAATTTGATTCATTATGTTTAGAGTATTCAAATATATCCAATAGTCAATATATAGCTTCATTATGGTATAGTATTGGTACAACTAATAATAATAATAATAATAATAATAATAATAATAATAATAATCCAACTAGTACAAGTAAATTTTTATCATTTTCATGGATACCATCATTTGATTTAATTAGAAATGCAAATTTCAATATTTGTAAATTTAATCAAAATCCTTATCAAATTATTGTTAATCCAAATAATGTATTGGAAACAGAAGTTAGTTATAGTATACAATTATTTTTAAATTCAGAATTTAAACAATGGTTATTGGATGATATAGATCAGAGATTTAAATTAATTAGTAAATTGAAAGAGTCTATTGGTATTGATGGTTTGGAGTTATTACCATTTGGTAGTACTAGAACGTTACTGATTGAAAAGGATTCTGATATTGATTTGTATACTAGTACACCATTATCAATGGTCTATGAAAAATTACAAAAATTTGATCAACAAGTTTATCAAATTCAATATCTATCAGATATTAAAATTCCAATCATCAAGATTATATCATCACAATTTAATTATCATGTTGATATCACCAATGATAATAATGGTCTATTAAAATCTAATATACTATTGAATCAATTTATTGATTCACCTGGTGTATTCATTTTCTTTTATATTCTAAGAAAATGGGCAAAGTATAATAGTATGCTGGGTAGAGGTATACAAAAACCATCCTATTTTGATTTCTATTTAATAACTTGGTGTAAAAAGAATTCATTACTATCATCAGAATGGGATCAATCAACTAGAAATCTTAATATTAAACAAATTATGGAGTTGATATTAAGAATGATAGAAGGATTTAGATTTTTGTCCAGTCAAACAGTATTTTCAGTTTTGAGTAAATTCTATCAGGAACATTGTAATATCTCAGAATATATGGTACAAGATATTCTAAATTGGGAAGAGGTATTTAAAGCTGATGAATCTTATCTCTTAAGATTACATAGTCTCTCTATAGTGGCATTACATTCATTGACATTTTCTAGATCTGATATATCTACATTTTTCAAAATCAATAAGACTAGAACCAAGTTTAATCTAAATACTGATTATAGTAAATACTATAAGGATAGAGAGATATTCTTTCAAGAGAAATTGGCAAAAGAATATCAATTACATAGTGTAGTCATTAAACCACAAAATAATCAATCTAAAAGAGGGTTATTAACATTGGAGGCATATGGTAATCCAATGTCTATAAAGAGACTAGAAGAAGTATATCAGATTGCAATGAAATCCATTCAAGTACCTTTCATTAGTAGAAGTTTTATTAAAGGTAGTATACTTTTAATGTTTGAAGGTAGTATATCATCCAAAGCCAAAATTCTATTATCACCTTACCAAGGTCAATTCAATAGAAATCACATTCACATGTTAAAATTGGTACCACAAATTGAAGATTTTGTCTCTGGTAGTATGTTAAAACAGTACAATAGATTCAATGAGGCACTATTTAGACAGTTACAAGTACTACAACAAAACTCTCAACAAGATGTCTTACAAACTGCCTCTATTAGAGTTGGTAGTTTTTATCTATTAAATTTTGAAAAGTCACTTTATACCTATCAAATGGATATAAAATCTCTAGAGAAAATTATCTCTCGTTACAGTTCATCACTAGTAAAAAGAGATAAACAATTAGTATCAAAATTAGAAAAATCAAAATTAAAACAACAAAAGGAATTATTAGAAAATAATAGTAAAAAGTTAAATCTTAATACTATTAAAGAAAATAGTTCTCAAATTGATATCAAAGATCAAACTTTATCATTTGGTATAAAAGTTTTAAATAATAATCTTCAAAATAATAATAATAATAATAATAATAATAATAATAATAATAATAATAATAATAATAATAATAATAATAATAATAAGAAAGAAAATATTGAAGAAAAGAAAAAGAAAAAGAATATATTAAAATCAACTAGTAGTTTTTTTAGTAATTGTAATATATCATTTACAAAGGCAATGACATTATTAGATAGATGGAATTTGGAAGTTGAAAGTTATCAAGAAACTTATTCAGTTTCAATAACTAAACCAAATGTTTGTCTGATTAATCAGATTTTATCTGATAAATTAGAAATGATATCACAAACTTGTGATCCTTGTATATGGTTTTCTGGTACACTATTTCCATATCAAGTTGGTTCCATTGATCCAGTTAGTGGTTTGGCAAAATCTCAAGATCAATTGAGATTTTTAATATCTAGTGCTAGACCTTTACCTCAGGAACTCTATCAATTGTATCCATCTCCTGCATTGGTCATGTCCAATGGTCAATTGGAAGTCATTGAACCACTTAGATCTCAAGTTTACTTTGCCAAACATAACAAGACAAAGATTCTAAAGAAAAAAGTTTGTGATGATGGTACTAGAATTCATATCAACCAAGTGGTAATCTTTAATGATCTCAATGGAAAGACTGGTAAATTTCAATCCATTGTTCAGAATTTAATTGATTTAAAAATTTCTCTTCCACTACCATCAGTTTCAAATTACTCAACAAATCATGAATTTATTCAAAATTATTGGAATACTGGATATGAATTATCCCAATTTTTAAAAGATTTATTTTAATTTACATGTAAATTAATGTAACCTTTTATAATTGTGATGAACAAAAAAAAACTAAGACTAAAAAATTTAATAAAAGATTTTATAATACATTCATTTACAAATATGAAAAAAAAAACTTGAGTTTGTAAATTAAAACTATTTATATGTACAATTTCTTAGAACTTTGAGACTATTAAATGAGATAATTAAAATAAATATGATAAGATAGGGGTTTTATTGGTTGAGTGTGAATACTATAGGTGTATAATTCACAAAAGGTAGGTTATGTTGCAACATCAGCGAATAACAAACTAAATAGATTGTCATCAGTTTTAACAGCATTATAATTTAAAACTGATGACAATCTATTTAGTTTGGTTACTCTGAACCAAATGACCATACACACCTCCCGGTAGGTTTGTCTATTGAAAGAGATTTTAATAAGTTTAAATCTCTTCTGGAGGTGCAATAGGCTTATAAGCCCAGCTGGGACTATCTGAATTTTTATTAGATAGAATTTGGAAAATTAATGATAATGCTTTCAAAATTGATGTATCTCCTAATAACTATCCAGTCGTTAATGTTGATAGACTTAAGAAGGTTAAGTCTGCTAGTGAATGATTGTTTCTGCTGTAGGTTTTATTGAAGGTATATACCATTCTTTTCCCTACGTTCTACAAAATATATATATGTGCCTGTTTTCGATTGTAATAGTACATCACTATTATACTAAGTGTTCTAACTAACTTTAACGATAAACGATTTCAGTTAGTAAAATGGAATTAGTATAAAAGGCTCCACAAATTCTATTTAATAAAGTTATTCTTTTATATTATTTTGGTTTTACATGGTATTTCAATTATAATAATCTTTATTTTTTTTATTTTTTTTTTAATTTTTTGTTAAAGGCGTACCAATTGATACCCTTATGCCCAGACCTAGGAGTTGGATCTAAAGTTTATTTATGTACATTGAAAAGGGCCATAAAATGGTCTGATATTAGAATTTGTATTAGGTAGTTATTTTTGCACCAAGTCTTGGTGAACATTTGATTTGAAATTTGATCGAGGATATACATTGGTTTTTTACCTTGTCTATAGTGGTACTGTGGTGGAGTCTCCAGTGTTTGGACATTAGGCCGAATGTTTTTTCCCATTCTGCTCTTTTAGCTATATTCATCTTGTAGGTGACAGCTAGCCAGTTCAGTTCCATTTCAATTTTATCGTGATTTTTCTAATTTCTCGAATACCATATGAAGGTCAAACAATATAGCGATAAATGAACCCAATACTGGGTTGTTGATTTGGTTTAATATTCTTTGGTATTTTTTTTTTTTTTTTTTTAATAATCTTTATTTATAAGAAGACTTAATTCAAAATCTATTTAGCAATCCAAGGTAGCATAATTGGCAGTGCGTGTATCTCGTAATTTTACATGATAATACACGATCCAGGTTCAAACCCTGGCCTTGGAATCAATTTTTTTTTTTTTTTGCAATGGACCATGTTCAGAATTGTGGATGGTTTTTTTAGAATTGTAGATAAATTAAAACAATATCAATATCCGTATTTGGCGTATACTTTGCCAAGTCAGCAATGTCAAAGTTTTATCAAAAAAAAAAAAAAAATTTAATCATTTTTATAAAATTTAACAGCAATACAATATAGAAAATGTTTAATAACATTCTTGCCAGAATGGGACAGGGATTATCTGTTGGACAACAGAGCTTTCCATATAATATTGGAAACCCAGTTTCAACCTATTTAGGAAAATCAATATGGACACTTCACAGTGGTACGAAAAAAGATGATGGATCACCAGTTAGTATATTCAGTTTTGATAAAACAAAAAATCAATCCAAAATCGATGTAGCAAAGAATGGATTTAAAAGAGCAAAAACTATAAGACATCCAAATTTTCTTACCTATTTAGATGGTATTGAAATGGACTCTAATATTTACATTGTAACTGAACCAATTCAACCATTAGATGATCTAATAGATGATATAAAAAAATATGATAATGCCATTTCATGGGGTATTTATCAAATTGCAGTATGTAAACAACATAGATATATTAATATAGTAATAATATCTAATATCATCTTTACAATATATATAGAAAGCATTATCATTTTTAAATAATAATAATAATTTGGCACATGGTAATATCAATTTGACAACTATATTTGTAACAAAAGCAGGTGATTGGAAATTGGGTTCATTGGATTTAGTATCAGATCCAAAAGATCTTTATAGTGTATTAAAGAATCATCATGATTTAATACCAGTTAAATATAAACCACCTGAGATTCTAAAGGGATTATGGTCACATTTACAAGAGTCACCTAGTTATGGTATAGATTCTTGGATGTTAGGATGTCTACTCTATGAATGCTATAGTGGACCAATGAGTAAATCTGAAGATGTGCGTGATCTAGATAATATACCAAAACAACTACATCAACAATACCAAAAATGTTTTAGTTCAAAAACTGAATCACGTTTAAATCCTCAGAAATTCTTAGAATCAAGTTATTTTCAAAATATATTTGTTGAAACTTGTGTATTTCTTGAAAATATAACTTTAAAAGATAATTTTGAAAAAGAATCATTTTATAAGTAAGTTTTATTTATAAATTTATTATTATTATAATATATTAATATTATTATTATTGTAAAAAGAAAACTTGATTCAAATATTGAAAAATTACCAGCAAATATTTGTAAATTTAAAATTATACCACATTTATTGACAGCTTTTGAATTTGGTCCTATAAATTTAAAGATTTTAGGTATAATATTAAAGTTGAGTTCCAATTTGACACCAGAGGAATATTCAACAAAGATTATACCAAGTATATTAAAATGGTTTGCATCAGATGACAGAGCACTTAGAATTAATCTATTGGAGAATTTAGAGCATTACATTCAACATTTATCATCAGATTTGATAAATAATCAAATATTTCAACATGTTGTCAATGGTTTTAATGATAATCCAACATTAAAAGAGATGACTGTAAAGTCAATGATACTGTTTGCACCAAAACTCACAGAAAAGACTCTTACACAGTTACTAAAGTATTTTGCAGCATTACAAAAGGACCCTCTACCAGGTATCAGAACGAATACCACTATATGTCTAGGACGTATAACAGAGTATCTCAGTGATGATTTAAAAAAGAAGGTATTAATTCCAGCATTTTCAACAGCATTAAAAGATTCATTTGTACCACATGCTAATGCTGGTATCTCTGCTTTCCTGTTCACTATAAATTATTATAATGCTGAACAGATTGCAACAAGAATTATACCTGAACTCTCTCAATGTCTCATTAATCCTGATCGTTCCATTAGAAATCTTGCTCTACAATCTATACAAAAGTTTCTAACAAAATTAGAAAAAATGATTGAAACAATGGAAAGTCCACCACAATCTCAATTGAATAGTAATAATAGTAGTACTGAAGGTTCATTAAATAATAGTACTGGTAGTGATGGTGTATTATCAAATAGTATAGGTTGGGCAATGAATTATACTAAAAAACTAGTTGGTAATGAACAATCTTCAAATAATAATAGTAAAAATTCTTCACCTTCAACAACATATAATAATTCAACAACTACTTCACCAATTAATAATAATACATTTAAATCTACAAATTCAAATACTACATCAAAATCTAGTTTTCAAGTATCATCATCATCATCAACATCAAAATCTAATAATAATGGTTGGGAAGAAGACGATGAATTTGATGTACCACCTGTAAAATCAAAACCAACCAATAATAATAGTAAAAATAGTAGTAAAAATAAAGTACATAATAGTGATGATGATAATGATGATGATGATGATGATGAAGAAGAAAAACCAAGATATACAACTAAAAAAGAAGATTTACCAAAAATGGTAACTAAACCTAGTACTACAACAGGAACAACATCTAAACCTGCTAAAGGTGGATTAGTATTAAAGAAACCAGAAACTATAAAACCTAATACTTTAGTTGTTGATGATAATGGTTGGGATAACAATGATGATTTTGAAATTCCACCACCAACTAGTAGTAAAAAACAAAGTACATCAATATTACCAACTAGTACTACATCTAAAAAATCTGTAAATAAAATTGCTACAGAAGGTTGGGAAGATTGGAGTGATTAATTATATTTAATCATTACAAATATCTCTTTAAAAATATAGCGTACATATATTGACATGTCAATATAAACAATTTATATATGAGTCAATATTGGACAACTTCTCAAACTTGACTTTCGTGGTCAAAATGAAAAATTGCAGTAAAAAAAAAAAATTTTTTTTTTTATTTTTTTTTGATTTGTCTGTTCTCTTATCCCTCTTTTGTAATTTTAAATAAAAATATGACAACTTCACAATCACTAGATACCCATCATGAGGATATGATTGTAAGTTATTATTAAATACTTATCATAACAATAAAATAAAATATTAATATTAATTAAAAATGATATATAGCATGATGCACAATTTGATTATTATGGTAAATTTTTAGCAACAGGATCATCAGATAAAATTATAAAGATATTTGATGTTAGTGGAGAAGGTCAACAGCATTTGGCAGATTTAAAAGGACATGAAGGACCAGTATGGCAAGTTGCATGGGCACATCCAAAATTTGGAAAGATTCTGGCATCAGCCAGTTATGATAGAAAAGTTATAATTTGGAAAGAGGTTTCACAAAATAATTGGGCTATTATTCATCAATATAGTGGACATGAACTATCAGTGAATAGTATCAGTTGGGCACCACATGAATTTGGATTGATATTGGCATGTGCATCTTCAGATGGTACAGTATCAGTACACAACTTTAAAGACAATCAATGGGAACAACCACAAAAGATTCAAGTCAGTCAGATTGGTGTAAATTCAGTTTGTTGGGCACCAGGTACCTCTACAGCTTCACTTGTCAATCTCAGTCAATCCAATCAACAACAGGTTACATTGGCACAGAAACGTATTGTAACTGGTAGTTGTGATAATCTTATTAAAATCTACAAACAACACGAACAGGAGAACAAGTGGGTCGAAGATAAGGTTCTATCTGACCATAAAGATTGGGTTAGAGATGTAGCCTGGGCTCCAAATATAGGTTTACCAACTTCAAAAATTGCATCTTGTTCTCAAGATAGACAAGTCATCATTTGGACTCAAGATGATCAAAATAGTCAATGGGTTGCCTCAAAATTACCTGAATTTGATGACAGTGTTTGGAGAGTTTCTTGGTCTGTTATTGGAAATATTTTAGCTGTTTCTTCTGGTGATAATAATGTATCACTATGGAAAGAATCAATTGATAATAATTGGGAATTAATTTCTAAAGTTGAAAATAATTAAAAAAAAATAAAAGAAAATAATAAAAAACACATTAAATACTGATACAGAAATAACTTCACTTATAGATATTTTTTTATCTTTTTTAAAAACATATTAAGAGTGTGAGTGTGTTTTAATTAAAATACAATGAAATAAATATAATATTCCCACACACGCAAAAAACTCTTGGTGTGTGATGTGTGTTTTACTAATTTTCAGTTTTGTTAATAAAAGTAAATTTCCAATTTTAGAATTGATTACTAAATCCAAATTTGACATGAAATATTACTTTTGTATAATTTCTAAAATTAGGTATTAAAAATTTAGTATAAATAGTTTCAAAATTTTAGTTTATTCAATATCAAAAACAACAATTTATTAATTTAATTAAAACAAAACAAGTTAATTAAAAAATAGTTATTTATTTATTTATTTATTCAAAATGTATTGGAAATCAATTTACTTTTGTGCTTTAGTAGCACTAGCTGGAGCTGTTTATGCCTACTCACCACCAATAATAACAACAACTGGTGGACTTCCACCAATAATAACAACAACTGGTGGTTTACCTCCTCTTCCTCAGTATTGTCCAGTAAAGAATGATTGTCAAAGAGTTAGAAGATTTGAAGAACATGGTTACCCATACACTGAATTTGAATGTATCCTTACCAATTATGGTTACTTGGATGTCGTCAATGTTGATATGAGATTAGATGGTGCCAGACTCAAGGAAATTAAAGGTATGGAAACTTCTGATAAGGGTTTCTCATGGAACTTCCCAGCTTGGAGAAAACAAAGACCTTTAGCTACTGGTGATAGTCACAGATGGTCTTACATTGTCAATGGTTATGAGCCACTCAGAGTCACACTTTGTCCAAAATCACCAAGAGTTAACATTGAAGTCAATAATATGGAAGCTGGTAACACTCCTCCAACCATCAAATGTTCTTTAGATAACAAATGTACTATGGTCAAACAATGGGTTACTGATAACAAACCATACTATCAATACACTTGTCAAGTTATCAATAACGGTGTTGCCCCAGTTACTCATGCTGATGTTAGATTCGTTAATGCTACCTCTCTTTATGCAGTTTGGGAATTACAAAC